AATAAGACATAATAAGATAAAGCAAAAACCATCACATTGAGACTGGACAAGGTCACCAAACAGAAGGAAAAGTCCAAGAGTGGGCACAAAAAATCAGAGACCCACTCACTGACACACTCAGAAGTGCCATAAAAATACTTAGCTGAAAGCTAATAATATATACACAGAGGACCTGATGCAGACCTGTGTAGGCTCTGTGCTTGCTGCTTCAGTCTCTGTGAGTGCTGCTTCAGTCTCTGTGAGTGCATAGGAGCCTTGTTTAGTTGAATCAGAGAGCTTTGTTCTCCTGGTGTCCTCCATTCCATCTGGCTCTTATGTTTCCACCTCCTCTTCCATGGTGTTCCCTAAGCTGTAAGGGGAGGGATTTGATGGAGACATCTCATTTAGGGCTGTATGTTCCAAGGACTCTCTCTCCACCTAATGCTGATCTGTGAGTCTCTAGTGTTTTCATCTGCTGCCAGAGGAAGCCTCTGTGGTGATGACTGGAATAGGCAATGATCTATGAGTATAGCATAATATTATTAGGAGTCATTTTATTGATTATTTTAGACCAGTAGTGTTTGGCTTTGTGCTCAGTCTCTGGGTTATCTAGTCTCTGGTTCTTGGTCACCCCAGCACTGTTGGGTATGGGTTCCATCTTGTGGAGCAGGCTTCAAATCAGTTATTGGGTAGCTACTCCCACAAATTCTGTGCAACCATAGCACTAGCATATCTTGCAAGGGAAGATAAGGTTGTAGGCCAAAGGTTTGTGGCTGGGTTGGTGTTTGTTTCTCCTCTGGTAGCCTACAGAGTATCTTCCAGCACCAAAGACACTAGAAGGTGGGGTGAAGGCTCATGTAGGCACCAACTCACCTGTTTAGTGAGTTGAGTGCATGTTGTTCTTGGTAATGGGTCACAGATGTCAGTTTCTGAGACCAAACCATTGTGGTAGCTACAGTCTGGGTTGTTTGTGGGATTTCCATGGAAGCCCCTTAGCCAACAATTCAATTAAATGCAACCTGGTCCTACAACTGGAAGCCTTGTTTGGTGACAAGAGGTGGCCAGTTGGGATTCTATATCCTCCACTATTAAGAGACCTCATCTAGGATCACTTTCATATATTTGAGGAAGTTTCTACTGCACTAAGTTTTTATATCATCTCTGTAATGCCCCTCAATTCCATCTGTCTCTCCCCACACTCCCTCCCTCAACTCTATTTCCCCTTTCTTCCCTACCTGATCATCTCACTCCTGTCCTCACCTGCCTCCAGTCTACCTTAAAAATCTATTTCTCTTTCCTAGGGAGATCCATGTGTGCCACCTGGTCCCTTACTCTATGCGTCAGCTGTCTGGATCTATGGATTGTAGGCTGCTTATCATTTATTTCATGGCTAACATCCATATTTAAGTGAATACATATCATAGTTATCAGGCTGTGTCTGGGTTACCTCACTCAGGATGATTTTTTTTCTAGTTCCATCCGTTTGCCTGCAAATTTCATAATGTCATTGTTTTTAGCAGCAGAGTAATTATCCATTGTATAAATGTGCCACATATGCTTTATCCATTCTATAGTTGAGGGACATCTAGATTGTTTCTAGTTTCTGGCTATTAAGAATAAAGCAAATGTTTTTGGGGTGGTATGGAGCATCTTTCAGGCATATGGCCAAGAGTGTTATAGCTTGGTCTTGAGATAGATTGATTTCCGGTTTTCTGAGGAACTGCCATATTGATTTCCATGATGACTGTACAAGATTGTAATACACCACAATGGGGGAGTGTTCCCCTTGCTCCACATCCTTATCAGCATGAGCTGTCACTTGTGTTATTGATATTAACCGTTCTCACATATATAAGATGGAATCTCAAAGTCATTTTGATTTGCATTTCCCTGTTGGCTAAGGATGTTGAACATTTAAGTGCTTCTTAGCCACTTGAGATTCCTCTATTAAGAATTTTCTGTTTAGATCTATATCTCATATTTTAACTTGATTATTTGTGTTGTTGATGTCTAGTTTTCTGAGTTTTTTTATGTACTTTTGATATTATCCCTCTATTGGATATGGAGTTGGTAAAAATCTTTCTCATTTTGTAGGCTGCCCTTTTTCCTATCGATGGTGTCCTTTGCCTTATAGAAGCTTTTCAGTTTCATGTTTATTTATTAATTTTTGTGCCTGCTCTATTAGTGTGTGTGTTTTTTTTTTCAGAAAGTCTTCTCCTAAGATCTTGAATTCAAAGCTGTTCGCCCCTTTCTCTTCTATCAAGTTCAGTGTATCTAGTTTTATGTAGTGGTCTTTGATCCATTTGGAGTTATGTTTTGTGCACCTTGATAGGTAGGGATCTATTTGCATTCTTCTACATGCAGACATCCAGTTTGGTTAGCAGCATTGGTTAAAGATGCTCCCCTCTATCCAATGTGTATTTCTTGTGTCTTCATCAAAAATCAGGTGACCAGAGACGTGTGGATTTATATCTGAGTCTTCAATTTGATTCCATTGATCAGAGTGTCTGTTTTATGCCAATACCATGAAGTTTTTATTACTATAGCTCTATAGTACAGCTTGAAATCAGGAATGGTGAGATCTTCATTTATTATTCAGAATTGCTTTAGATATTCTCACTTTTTGTGTTTCCATATGAAGTTGGATATTTTCCTTTCAAACTCTATAAAGAATTCGGTTGGAATTTTGATGGGGATTGTATCTAATCTGTAGATTATTTTTGGTAGGGTTGTCATTTTTACTATGCTAGTCCCACTAATCCATGAGCTGGTGAGATATTGCCATCTTCTGATATCTTCTTCAATTTCTTTCTTCAAAGACTTGAAGTTTTTATTATACAAGTCTTTCAATTGCTTAGCAGAGTTACCCCCTGATAATTTATATTATTTGAGACTACTTTAATGTCCCTGATCTCATTTTCAGTCAATTTACAGTTGTATATAGGAGGGCTATTATTTTTATGAGTTGATTTTGTATCCAATGAGTTCCCCCGCAGAATTTTTAGGATCACTTAATGTTTACTATCATATCATCTGAAAATAATTATACTTTGACTTCTGTGTTTTCAAATTGTATCTTTTTTTGTAGATTTTTTTATTTGAATTAGAAACAAGATTGTTTTACATGTCAATCCCAGTTCCCTCCCACTCCCTTCCTCCCCTACTACCTCTCCCCATCTAAAACGCTACCTATCACATATCCTTTCTGCTCTTCAGGGAAGGTGAGGCCTTCCATAGGGGGATCATCAGAATCTATCATATCCTTTGAGATAGGGCCTAGGGCCACCCCTGTGTGTCTTGGCTCAGGGAGTATTCCTCTATGTGGAATGGGCTCCCAAAGTCCACACCTAAGCTAGGGATAAGTACTGAACTACTGCAGAAGGTCCTGTAGATTTCTGAGGTTTCCTCACTGAAATCTATGTTCCTGGTGTCTGGATCAGTCCCATGCTGGTATCCCAGCTATCAATCTGGGGAGCAAGAGTTCCCAGATGTTCAGGTCAGCTGTTTCTGTGGGTTTCACCAGCCTGGTCTGGACCCCTTTGCCCATCACTCGTTCTTCTCTGCAACTGGTTTCCAGTTCAGTTCATTGATTAGTTGTGGGTATCTGCCTCTACTTCCACCAGCTGCTGGATGAAGGCTATAAGATGGCATATAAGTCAGTCATCAATCTCATTATCAGAAGAGGGAATTTAAGGTAGCCTCTCCTCTGTTGCTTAGATTGGTGTCATCTTTGTAGATCTCCAGACATTTCCCTAGTGCCTGATTTCTCTTTAAACCTAAAATGTCTCCTTCTATTGTTTTCTATTCTTCCCCTGACTCAACCTTTCTGCTCCCTCATGTCCTCCTCACCCCTCCTCTTCTCCCCTTATCATTATTGCTCTAGCTAAGACTTTAAGTACTATATAGTATAGGTATGGAAAGACTGGACAGCCTTGTCCTATTCCTGAATATGGTGAAATTGCTTTGAGTTTTTCTACATTTAATTTGATGTTGGCTATCGGCTTGCGTTAAACTGCATTTATTATGTTGAGTATCCTTTGTATCCCTAATCTCTCTGGGACTTTTATCATGAAGGGGTGCTAGATTTCATCAAAGGCTCTTTCTGCCTCTAATAAGGTGATTGTGTGGGTTTTGTCTTCCAGTTAGTTTGTTTATATGATGCAGTTCAGTTATTGATTTTTGTATATTGAACCATCCCCACATCTCTGTGAATTCTAGTTGATCATGGTAGATGATGTTTATGATGTGATCTTAGATTTGGTTTGCAAGTAATTTATTGTGTATTTTTGCATTTACATTCATAAGGAAAATTTTAGATTGTTTATCTAGTTTCTTGAGACATCTTTATAAATGTATGTCAAAGTGAAGTCCTAAGTTCTAAAAATACTTTTTAACTGATCTGTTATAATAATTAATATAACCAGGTTATGTTCTATGTTTGGATACCATAAGTATATCACCTACAAATCTTAGAAATGAAATCACTGGTAGGAAAGTTAGGTTAAACCTTATCTACAGGGGAGCTAATGGGAACTGAAAATATGTGTGGTATACTATATCTTAACCTTCCACATAATTGCTCATTTCAAATATAGTTAGAAAATACTTAATTTTAGGGTCTGACTCCCGACACATACAGGACTTCTATTATTACTTTATTCAAATAATGGTAGGTCATTTAATGTTTCTATATGCAAGGAAATAATTCAATTTGAGAACTGTTCTTAAATTCATGGCTTTTGCCTCATTATTGAGTTAACAGTTATTTGCATTATTGCTTATTGGTACAGAGTTAGGTAACAACCAAAGAGCCTCATCATTGTTGGATTATATTAATTAAAAGTGCTTTGATATTATAGGTGTGCAAATTAGTTGTGGATTATTACTGTGATAGAGTTTAGATGGATAATAATAGTGATCATGATAAGGTTTTCTACCTTTTTTATAGCTTGTAGTGCTTTAATTTAAAGATCCATTTGTTAAAACTGACCGAGAAATGTCTTTTATGGTTGATTTTTTAGCCACCAGCTGAGCAGGCCAAAGCCAGATTACAGTTGGTCCTTGAAGCTGCTGGTAAGTGTTGAAAATTAACTTTTATGAAATAAAAAGTAAATCTCAGGCTGATGGCATACTTACACATGAGTCAAATGTTTTTCCCCGTTTTAAAATTCTTACAGATATAGATTATAGGTTTGAATCTATGTTACCTATTTATTGCCAATGAAAAGCTGTATGTGCTAAAAAAAAAAAGTCATTCCTTACATGTTTATGGATAAAACAGGTATTAGTTTTAAATTTTAATTTTAATGAAATCTGTGTTAATTTTCATTTTTTATGGATTGTACTTTTGGTGAAATAAAAAATTCTTTAACTCTAGATCATGGTTTTTTTCCTGACATTTTCTCCTGGAAGTTTTTTTTTTTTAATTTTGTAATTCGTATTTAAGACTATGATCTATTTGCACTTAACTTTTTTGTAGGTTACAATTGATTAAGATTTCCATTATTTTGGAGAAAATGAGGCCAATGCTATTTAAAATTTCTCTAGTTACATTAGACTAATTCATTGTACTATATGTTTTGTTGCCATCTAATCATAAAATGCCATGTTTAATTTCCCAGTGGTACAGTTTCAGAAAGACTTTTATTTCTTTCAATATGTCTAAAAATCCATGCTGTTTTCTACATAATAATTTTCTACATAGTAATTTAACTTTAAATCTTATGTGTTCGTGTGTGTGTGTGTGTGTGTGTGTGTGTGTGTGTGTGTGTGTGTGTGTGTGTGTGTGAGTTTTATTTACCTTTTAAGGGTTTACAAAAGTTTATCTCTTCTTGTCTGACAAATTGAGGATTCAATGATAATTCCAGACCACCAGATGACAGATGTTATATTTTTGAGCAAATACATATGTGTCCATTGACTCAAGAATCTCTTATATTATGTATTGTTACTATAAATTACTATAGAAATAAGTTTTTGAGATTATAGAGTATTAATTTATAGGATAGGGGTTTTTTTATTAGTTCAAATTAGAAACAAGCTTGCTTCACATGTCAATCCCTTCTCCCTTTCCCTCCCCTCCCTCTAACCCCCCACCAGCCCCCTTCCTCATCCCTCCTCTGCTCCCCAGGGAGGGTACGGCCCTCTATGGGGGTTCCCAAAAGTCTGTCATATCATGCAGGGCAGGGCCTAGGTCCTCCCCCATGTGTACAGGCTGTAGGATAGGTTTTTATACATTGTGCTGAACTGCTTTATGAAAACTTTATGCTACTTTTCATTACCACTAATTCAGTGATTATTTTTTATCCGACTGCTGTTTTTCATGCTACTACTATGAAAAGAATGATATGTAACGATGTAATGTTTTATATTTCTTTGAAAAATATATAGTGTTAATTTTGAAGATGCTTTATTGCCTCAGAGGGAAAGTAGATAGCTGGGTGGTGTGGACTATCAATTAACATACAAACATGAAGAAGGGGAGAGGCGGGACTTGGCATCAGCCTCAATAAGACAACCCCTTACCTTTTAATAGTTTCTTCTCATTTTCCTTGTTTCTGACAACCACCAATCTGCCTTCTGTCTCTGTAATTTCATACGAAGAGACAGGGTTTTGGTTTTTTGTTTTTTGGTTTTTTTTTTTTTCTTTTCTTTTTCTTTTTTCTTTGTCGAGACAGTGTTTCTCTTTGGAGCTTTGTAGACCAGGGTGGCCTTGAACTCAAAGAGATCCTCCTTCCTTTGCCTCCCAAGTGCTGGGATTAAGGGTGTGCAATGCCACTGCCTGGCTTAATATGTAGGTTTTTATATCTGTCATGTGGTCTGTTTGGGAAGTATATCCATGTTGTAACACATCAATAGGTTTTTATAGGTTCATTTCTTTTTATTGCTGAATAATATTTGTGTACAACTTGGCTTACACATTAATTCAGTGATAAAAATTTGAACACTTTCTGGTTTTTAATATTGTTGAGTAACATTATAAATACACAAAATTGATCTGAGCACCTGCTTTTAGATTCTGAGAGTATTTTTGTAAAGGAATAATTGTGAGGTCATTCGGCAATCCTTTAATTCTTTAAAAATCCCCAACAATTTTCCATAATAGACAAACCACTTTGTATTCTCAACTGCAATGTACAAACGGTTCCCTATGATATTAATAAGAGATTATTATACTTTTAGTTAGTTTTTTGAAAGTCTTTAGGTTTGGAGATTTTTTGTATCATAAATCCATCACCAATGAGAGGTAAGAATGGTAACTGTCTTTCAGGGTTATTGTGACAACAAATAATTATAACATATGAAGTACCTAATCCTAGCTCAGGCTAGGATTTTTGTGGTCAGCAGTCTCAGGCACCATTTCATAATGCTAAAAATTATCCAGTGTCTGTCAGTACAAAAACAGTTTTATACCTGTTTAAGACTCTTTAGATTCTGTGCAATGGATCCACACACTTTTCATTTTTTATCTCTGTATTTTTAATTGAAAAAAATTTCTACATACAGTATATTCTTACTTCTTTCCCCTTCCTCATATTCTCTCAGATCCTCCCCACCTATCTAACTCTAGGCCTTCTCTCTCTCTCTCTCTCTCTCTCTCTCTCTCTCTCTCTCTCTCTCTCTGAAAGCAAACAAACAAATTTTAAACAAAAACAACAAACTAGAATTATAAACAAACTAAAATTAGAAAACATAGAAAAAGCATGAGCAATACACAGTCACATAAAATCACAGTACCTGAAATCATAATATATAAGCCAAAAACCAGGAAGGTTAAAAAAAATGCCCAAACAAGTCATTGTAAGACAAAACATCTGAGAGAGGGAGAGAGAAAGAGAGAAAGAGATAGAGAGAGAGAGAGAGAGAGAGAGAGAGAGAGAGATAGAGAGAGAGAGAGAGAGAGAGAGAGAAGACATCTCTACAAATAGCATTGAGTTCATTTCATGTTGGCCATCTACTATTACTGGGCATGGGGCCTGACATTAAGTATACTCTGTATACCCAATGGAACTCCTTTGGATGAAACTAGTTTTTCCTTTGAGAATGGTTATCACTTGGAGATAGCTTCTGGGCTAGGGTTGGGGGCTTATATCCACTTTCCCTCTCAATATTGGGATTGCATCTGGCTTAGACTTGTACAGGCCCTGTGCATACTGCCATAGTCTCTGTGAGTTCATATGTCATCAGTTCAGTTATTATGTCTTGTTTCCTTGTTTTCTTGCATTTCCATTGGCTCTTTATAATCTTTCTGCATGAGAGGAGGTCTTGATAAATCTCTCTCTCTCTCTCTCTCTCTCTCTCTCTCTCTCTCTGTTTTTTCCTCCCTCCCTCTACATTGCCCAGTTGTGGGTCTCTGTATTAGTTCCTATATCCTGTAGAAGGAAGCTTCTCTGATGATGGCTGACCAACACACTGATCTGTGAGTATAGTAGAGTGTCATGGAGTTCTTTTATTGCTATATTCCTTTAGCAGAGCAATAGTATTTGGTTTTCTCCTAGGTCTGTGACCTATCTAGTTATGTTTTTAACCACTCTAACAGGGCCAGACATGGGTTCCATCTCATGGAGTGGGCGATAAATCCAATCAGGTATTGGTTGGTCACTCCCACAAGCTTTGTAGTGGTCTGTCTTACAGGCAGGTCACCATTGTAGATCAAAGGGTTTGTAGTGAGTGGTGTTTACTTTTCTCCTCTGGTAACATGCACAGTACCCTTCAGTATCATGGACACTAGTCAGCAGGGGTGAAGGTCCTAGTTAAACACTGGTACCACTTCTCTGCATTCACTGTTCTATGTATGTGTTCTCTGCAGCAACGGGGCCGTACCTCCAATTTGTGGAAAGCCAACAGTAGTTTTAGCAATTGCCTGAGTTGACTGGGGATCCTCATAAGCCTCCTCTGACCAGCAACTCAAGTAGATGTAACCCATTTCTGGTACTGGAGGATTCACTTGATGGCAAGAGGTGCCTAGTTGGGATTTTTTTTCTTCCCCATTATTTGCTGATTCCATTTATATTTATTTTTATATAAGTATATATTTTAAGCAGATTCTACTGTAGTAGATTTCCTTATGATTTCTCAAATGACCGTTTGTATTAGCTGTCACTCCCCCTATTTTTTCCCTTTCCCCTTCTTTCTTCCCTTCCTCTCTCCATTTAATCCTCTGTTCCATTGGGAAATCCTTCCCTCCTTCCCTTATTCTGTACCTAACCTCTATGATCATATGGATGGTTGCATGCCTATAAAAGACTTAAAAGCTGTCATTTGCGTATAAGAGAATACACACCATATTTGTCTCTTTGGGTCTGAAATTTCTTACTCAGGATGATTTTTTTTTCTAGCTCCATACATTTACTTTCAAATTTTATGATTTTGTTTCTTTTAACAGCTGAGTAATATTCCATTGTGTAAATGTACTACATTTTCTTGAACTATTCATCTGTTAATATATACCTAGGCTTCTGAAATTTCTGGCTATTGTAAATAGAACAGCAATGAACATGCATGGGCAAGTGTTTCTGTAGTAGAATGTAGAGTCCTTTGTGTATGTGCCCAAGAGATTAACAAACTCTAAAACTTCATTTCTTAGAATTCATACTGTAACCTATAATTATTCCCTGAATTGCCTATGTTCTTTTCTACCTGGAACTTTTTGCTCATGTTTTGTTTTGCTTTCTCCTATTCCCTTTCTCTGGTAGGTTTTTTGTCTCTATTATAACACCATAATGAAATGCCAACTATTAATCTCTGATAGATAAGTTATTTGTGAAGAAATTAATCATCTGATAAACCTTTGAATATGTGCTCGCTGTAGGAATTAGAATAGAAGTTACTCAAGAAACTATGAATAGGCTATATACTGGAAGGACTTTAAATGAGTACCACAGACATACTTGTACTTCTGTATTCATTACTGCATATTTCATGATAGCAGAAATGGACTCAGCCTAGATGTCAGCAGATGAACAAAGAAAATGAGATACATATACCGTGAAATTTTAATTGGCTGAAAAAAATAATGAAATCATGACATTTCCAAGAAAGTGGGTGGAACTGGTAATACTAAATGAAATAAG